AAAAGTATTAAGAGCAGTTGCTTATGGAGGGAAAGAATATGAAGTCTTTGTTTTCTTCCCTTTCAGCCTTTCAAATTTTGTAATTATCAGGGTTAAGCTTATATTTAAGAGAAAAAAAATTTTTTTTTTTCCCGAGGAAGATTAGCCCCAAGCTAACATCTGCTGCCAATCCATCCTCCTCTTTTTGCTGAGGAAGACTGGCCCTGAGCTAACATCCGTACCCATCTTCCCCTACTTTATATGTGGGATGCCTGCCACAGCATGGCTTGCCACACGGTGCCATGTCTGCACCCAGGATCCAAACCGGGTAACCCAGGCCGCCGAAGCTCAACGTGCACACTTGGCTGCTGCGCCCCCGGGCTGGCCCCAGAAGAAAAAATTTTTTAACCCTTGGTAAATCCATTTCTGATAATATGAGAAAGGGGAAGAGGGGACAAGAGCTGTGGAAATAAATGAGCCATAAGTATCAGAGACTCAAGTGAGGTTCAGGGTTTGTTGTCAGTGCCAGTGAGTCAATTCTGACCCCTAGTGACCCTGTGTACAGCATGCCTGGTCCTTTTTGCGCCATCCTCCCATCTTCTGGCACTCTATCAGACAATGCCCCATCGCTATTCATAGGGTTTTCATGACCAGTTTTTTCGGAAGTGGGTGGCCTGGTCCTTCTTCCTAGTCTATCTTAGTCTATGAAGCTTTCTGCTGAAACTTGTCCCACGAGTGACCCTGCTGGTGTTTGAAATACCAGAGGCATAAATTTCAGCAGCACAGCAACATGCAGCTGCCACATTATGACAACCGACAGACGGGCGGTGTGGTTCCCTTGCCAGAAAACGAAGCCAGGCCATGGTAGTGAGAGCACAGGGCTTGGGGTTCAGGACATACTTGTGGAAATAGCAATTTTTGTCTATACTACTCTTCTTAAAATCTCTTAAGAAAGCCATAGTTACACTATTCCCAGTGCCAGGTATTAAAAACTCAGTAGTCTCCAATGTGTGCTACAAATGACAAAGGACATTCTGTGCATGTACAATAGATGTGAATTCCAAGAGAATGGGAGAGCTGTATCAGTATCTTACTGAAAAGAAGTCTGACTTTTCCGTTAAATCCTATTTGGCCACCAAATAACAAACTCAGACAACAGATTCTCCATATCTATCATGTAATTCCTAGCGAAATTTTCTTGGGGCTTCCTAAAAGATTCAGCCCAGAGGAATAAACTCTTTTTATAAAAATTACTGTCAAAGAAAAAAAATTCCCTCAAACAGAAAAAGAAACTTGGAAACCAGGGGCAAAAAAAATCAAGCTGAAAACTTCGCCATTCAATTATTTGAGTTTCTAGTTTTATAGTCCAGATACCAGCCGTGATGCCCCAGTGCACATGGACTGTTCCAGAGGCTCACCGAAATGCTACTCTTGAAAGGAAGAAGAAACAAATGAGCACCTATTGGCCTACAGTGCAGATGGCTCTCCATAAATATTTAATGAATGAGTGAAATCATAAGAATTTTTATATTTTTAAACATAAAATAAACACCTTCAACTGCTAGAGAAGAAACCAGCTGTCAGGGAAGTACTAGACAGACTGTACTGGTCTCTTCACATTGTTACCCTTGGGATTCCACCCAGATATCCTTTATACTGTAGAAAAGGTATTTTCCTGACTGGGAACAGTTTCCCAACCTATGTTATAATTTACATACTTTCTAATTCTGCTATTTTTCAAATGTTAATGATTTCTCTATGAATCACTTTTAGTAACTGATCTATTTATCAAACTACTATTATGTTTCATACTACTACCCTGTCTTAAGCTTTTCACATTCCTTATGTTAGCTTGGATGCTGGACAAAGAAGGGATTAATAACCCTATTTGACAGATGAGATTATTGAAGCAAAAAAAAAAAAAGAGTTTAAGTAAAAAGGCAAGATTAAGAAAAAAACAGGCAAGGCGACAAATAAGCTCCAGGAGCAGGAGTAAAATCTAGGTTTTCTGACAAGCAGTCCAGTTTCTCTTCATTTTAGGAAAGCTGCAGTTTAAAGGACACCTAAAATACAAATCAGTTTATCCACTCACCGACTTTTCTCCAAGATTTGCTCAAACAAAACAATTAAGTAGACTTTAAAGTTAACAGGAAATGACAGAAGCAAAAATAACTGGGGTGTGGTCTAACCTCTGAAAAAGATTTTCAGCTGTGAATAAATGCAGACAACTCCAGCCAGACAAGATAACATCAGGTCAGGATTTATTACCCAATACAATGGACCTTAGCTATATATACAGTGACCCTTACTCTCTCAGAACAACCTTCAACTATTTTAAACTCTGGAAAACCCAGAGAAAAAGCAACATAAGTCACCAAGAAGCCAAAATTGCTGTGGTCACATTCTTATGCTAAAGTTTTTAAATACGAGATAAATCCACTCATTCTAAGGGCTTGAAATCATTTAAGTTTCATTTATTTAAGTGTAATCTTTTTTTCAAATTGTTTGCGGTTTTTTTTTAAAGATTGGCACCTGAGCTAACATCTGTTGCCGATCATTTTTTTTTCTTTCTGCCCAAAGCCCCCCAGGACATAGTTGCGTATTTTAGTTGTGGGTCCTTCTAGTTGTGGCATGTGGGACGCCGCCTCAGCATGGCCTGATGAGCGGTGCTAGGTCCGCGTCCAGGATCCCAACAGGCAAAACCCTGGGCGGCTGAAAGCAGAGCACATGAACTTAACCGCTTAGCCACGGGGCCAGGCCCTAAGTGTAATCTTTTAAGTATATAACATGCAGTAATTTATAATTTCACCGGAAAAAAAATGTGAACCATCCAGACCATGAGGGTGTTCACTTAACTGTGAGCATGTCTAGCAATAAGCCAGCACCTGCATTTTAACCACGTTTTATTTTAGTTTACTTCTATGTTCAAGAGTCTCAAAGGGTCATTTTAAAATTTCCTTTATACCTTATGGTAGGCTATGGTGGAAATCACATGCTACAATGGAGATCAGAATTTGAGAGTTGTGACGGTCTGAGGACTGCCACTAAGCTTCACTCAGATCCTGTTTACTCTGACTTGACACAGTTTTCGTTCATCTAGTTCCCTGCTTACTTCAGTTTAGAAGTGGCAGATTAAAAGAGCACATTTTGGGGCTGGCGTGGCCGAGTGGTTAAGTTTGCAAGCTCTGCTTTGGCAGCCCAGGGTTCTGCCAGTTCGGATCCCGGGCACAGACATGATGACACCACTCATCAGGCCATGCTGAAGCGGCGTCCCACATGCCACAGCTGGAAGGACCCACAACTAAAATATACAACTACATACTAGGGGGATTGAGGGAGGGAAGGGAGAAAAAAAAAGAAGATTGGCAACAGTTGTTAGCTCAGGTGCCAATCTTTAAAAAAAAAAAAAAAAGCATATTTTGACAGAGAACAGTACTGGAGGAGATAAGCTAAAAACAGACAAAAGCATTAAACTGGCATAGCAGTGAGGACTCATTTCAGTACAGGAGAAAACTGCCAACACCCTCATACAGCAGAATGCACCGGCCATGTTAATAGCACAGGACAGAAATTAATGTAGATAATGATGACCTTGATTTATCAAAAAAGGTTATGTTTAGTATATTCTGAATCTTAGAAGAGGGTTATATACTCTTTATGTGTTAGACACATAAAGACTAATATTAAAATGATCAAAATAATTTACCAGTTAAAGGGTTAAGTGTCTGTCATATGAGCAATCCACTTGAATCTCTAATGACAACAGACAAATGCTCAGTAGATAAAGCTCAAAAATCCCATTATGTATATTTACTAAATATTATATAGTGTAGATAGTCAACATTTATGGTCCACAATTATGGTGCTAACTTTTCAAAGGGAAAAAACTAAGTTACACACTAAAATTACATAGTGCAGACAATCAACATTTATGATGCTTGAAATTTTTAGGGGGCAAATAGCGAAGTTAAACACTAAAATTCTCCCCCTTCATTTAACATTCAATAGGCTTTTCCACTTAAAAAAAAAGTATTCTTGTCACCAATCTTAGTTTCCTTTCTCGTTCTAACTACCAAAATGAAAAAATAAAAGTATTTTAATAGTTTTCCCGACTTACGGCTAAGCCCTTTACCCAAAGGCCACTAACACACCTGGTCTAGGCTTACTTCCTTCTTATAAAATACTGCTTTCAAACCAATCGTTAAAACTCAGAAGAGTTGTACGTAAGTCTCCTATGGCTGAACAAAAGCAGCACAGAAACTAGCGGGTATGTTTAAACCGGTATTCTTGGTTTAAGGGCAGAAACAGTCACAATGTAAAACCCCATAGGTATTAGTAAGGAACATCTTTAGTTTATGTTGGACATCTGAATCAGAAAACATCATTCTCCAAGTCCTTACGGCCAAAAGGAAAATAAATCACCAGCATCACGTCAAGAGATCTGTAAATCCCAACATAAAATGGATTTGTTTGTATTTGTTTCACCATATTGTTTCTTTTAATAACAGCAGTGAACTGTGACGATCGGGAGAAAGTGGGCCAAAAGGTACGTGGTATATGTCCTAGAAAACTGTGGGGGAGGGGCGAGAAAGAGCTGGTCCTGAAGGAGGGGAGCGGCAGAAGAGCTGACTTGGAAGTCTACTAACTCCCTGCCCGCATCCCCCTGGATGGCTTCCCCAGTTAAGAGACTAGAAAAGAGGAATCGTTCCTTTTAAAAAGACGGGCATCAGGCCTTTTTGGACGGTGGGGAAGAAATCCCCACCCCACCTTAAAGTCCGCCACGACGGGAGGTCAAGTGGCAATCTCCAGGGTGTAGGCGCCGCAGAAGACGCCCGGGGCCCCCGCGGGACCCCCGCCCCTCTCGCACACCCCACCAAGTCCTCGTCCGGGACGGGCGCAGCCTGGGTCCCCGCCGCCCTCCTGCCTCCCCCACCTCGGCTCCCTCTCTCCGTCCCCGAGCCGCTGCCCGGCCGAGGGCCGTTTCCCGCGGGTCGACGAGGAAGGCCCGGCCCGCCTGGCACCTTTAATGACGCGTTCGGTGGTGGAGAGGTGGACGTTCCTCCCGGACATGGTCCCCTCGGCCTGCTCCGGCCCCGGAGACGCCAGACGCGCTCCTCCGCCCTCGCCTCCAGCGGCCTCAGCTCCCCGGGCGCTCGGCCCGCGGTGCCGCGGCCCCAGCTCCCTCGGGCGGCGCAGACACCCGACCGAGGCGGCAGCGGCAGCCCGGCCTCAAGCCTCACGGACACGGTGCGGGCCCCGTGGTCTCTAGCCCGGGAGGCGCGGAATCGGGAGCGCCCGCGCCCGCCGCTCAGGGAGGCAACCGGGGCTCCTCGCCGCCCGGCCGTGCGCGCGCGCGCGCCCCCGCCGGCACTCCCCCAACTTCCCAGCGGCCCGCGCGCAGCCGCCGCCGCCGCCGCCGCCGCCGCCGCCGCCGCGCCGAGGCCCAGCGCGCGACCCCGCTGGCGGCCGGCGCGGCCGCCGATCCCGGCCTCCCGCTCCCGACGGAGCCCCTCGGCCGCGCGGCCGCCATCTGTGCACGCGCGCTTCCCCCGCCTTCGGCTCCGACAGCCCGTTTTCCCTTGTCAGCGAGCGGCCGTGCCTGCGGCTGCCTCGTCGTCTGCGGCCTGCCGCGCCGGGCCGGTCGCCCCTCCCGGCGGCCCCGAGGCGAAGCAGCCGCATCTGGTGTCCCAGCAGCCGCGGTGTGGAGCCGCGAGCCCCCGGGCCAGCGTGCAGAGCCTGCCCTGCAGACCCCGCCCTGCAGACCCCGTCCCTCGCCGCGGCCGTCAGCCTGGCCGCGCTCCCGCGTCCGCCGCGGCCCCGCCGCCTTCTCGCGCTTGTTGCGTGCGGCTGGGGCCGTAGACGGACGTTCGCGTCCAGCCGCCAGGGCACGAGGCGGGCCAAGCTCCCGAGGCGGGCGGGTAAGACCCTCGGCGGGCGCGCCGGCCGTGGGCCGGGAGACAGGGGCGGCCGCTCCAGGGAGGCCCCGGGCCAGGCCGGCTTGGCGGGGCCGCTGCTCGCGCCTGTGGACAGGCCGACCCTGGCTCAGGTGCAGGACGTTGCCCTCAGTAAACCGTAGGCCCAGAATGCCGGCTGTCTTACCACGCCTGCCCTCCCTCACCAAGGGTAGTGCCTGGCAAGGTCAGAGGTATTTTGATGTCAGCAACGATAACGGAATATTGAAGCTGAGACCCAGGGAAGTGTACGCAAATTATGGGCAAGCCGGTCTTAACAGTTACTGCGGTGGCCAATAAGAATTCCTATGTGGCTATGTACATTTAAATTAAATGAAAGATTTACATATTCATTCTTCAAGTGCACTAGCCGCATTTCAAGCGCTCACTACCTGTGGCTAGTGGCTACCTTAGTGGACGTGGTAGGATGCACGTTCCCATCGCAGCGGAACGTTCCGTCGGACGGCTCCCAGCTATAAAAATGTTTAAGATCTTCATTAACGTGGACTCAGGATTGGGAGGAGGTGCGGGGATGTGCGCCCGAGGGAGGCCTTGAATCTTGCCTTGGAGTTCTGACCAAGGCCATTCATAGCAACCCCAGCAGGCTGAAGACCACTCTAGGAGCTGAATAGAATTTGATTCTGTTTTCTTAGGTCTTGACTTAAGGCTTCCACCCAAGAGAATTGTTCGGATATCTTGAGGAAGTTTTTTATTTAAAAAGTAATGAGCCCCACATTTCTATCAAACAGAGCAAATTAAAGGTCAGAATTAAATTGGTCCGTGCGTCATAGTGGATGCTAAAATTCCTCTGGAAGAACGTAAACAAGATAGCTAAAAAGAAAAAGTTTAAGAAAATACTACAAACCTATGTGAAGAGGTGGCGTACTCAATAATAGTGGTGGAAAAATTAACCAACTATTTGGATCCCAAGTTGGAGTCACTCCATAACAATATAAAGTGAACCTGGTTTAAAGAGTTATGTGTAAAAAATAAAAGGAAAAAATCTAGAAGAAAACGAGGAAGTTATCTTTCTTGGATAGTTGTGGTAATTATAGAACTAACAGATGCCAATAGATGCTGACACCCCTTCACTTCATGTGTGCGTTTATCAGATCAAAACCAACTCAATGAATTCCGGATAAGGACTTTCTAAGCGCAAAAGCAAGGAATCATAAAAGATTGCTATGTCTGACTATTTGAAAAAGATAAACAAAGAAGCACAAGATGGGAAATAGTTGCATCTCATGTCAGGGTAAAGAACTTTGACTACTCTACAATACGAGTATGGACAAACACCTTGAACAAAGAATTCATAAAATAAAATGTGGGCTAGCCGGGTGACAGAGTGGTTAAGTTCGCACGTTTGGCTTCAGTGGCCTGTAGTTTGCCGGTTCAGATCCCGGGTGCAGACCTATGCACTGCTCATCAAGCCGAGCTGTGGCAGGCCTCCCACATATAAAATAGAGGAGGATGGGCACAGATGTTAGCTCAGGGCCAGTCTTCCTCAGGAAAAATGAGGAGGATTGGCAGCAGATGTTAGCTCAGGGCTGATCTTCCTCAAAAAAAAAAAAAAATGTAAGGCACTAAACATTAAAAAATGTTCAACTTTATTAGTAATAAAAATGCAAATTAAAATAAGATGCCACTTTTCACATAGAAAACTGGAAAACATTTTTAAAAAGTGACACTGTTGGTAGAATTATAAATTAGTGCAACTTCTCTGGAAAGGGATTTGGAAGTATCAATCAAAGAAGACATATGTACGACCAGTGAAAAGATTCTCAACACCATTAGTCGTCAGTGCAATGCAAAATAACCCATATCGAGATACCACTTCACTAGCCTACTAGAATAGCTAAAATTAAAGACTCTCAGGACCAAGTGTTGGCAAGGATGGGAGCAAATTGAACTCTCCTACGTTGCTGGTGGCAGAGTAAAATGTTGCAACTACTTTGGAAAACAGTTTTGAAGTTTCTTGTAAAGTTAAATATGTACCTATTCTATGACCCAGTAATTTTACTGTTAGGTATTTTACCCAAAAGCAATAATTATCCAAACAATGGAATACCACTCAGCTAATAAAAGAGAAATGATTATCGATACATACAACAATATGAATGAATCTCAAAAACATTGTGTTGAGCAAAAGAAGCACAACACAAAATAGTATATACTACATGATTTCATTTGCATAGGAAAATGGTTAAATGAAGTATGATACTGGATGGAACATTATGCATTATGAAAAACCATCATATTTTACATTAGAAAGATATTTAATGTCATGAGAAAAACCTCAGAAGATAATGAAAACTGAAAAAGCTAGAATATAACCATAGACAGTATGGACCCTGTTTTGTTAACAGTCAAGCAAATGTATTCATGAAAGACTAGAAGGAAATATTAATATATTCATTCAGTAAATATTAATTAGATGCCAACTGTGCCAGGCACTCTGCTAGTTGGTAGGGATATGTCATGAGCTAAAATTGACACAGTTCATACCCTCATGAAGCATTACATGATGAGGAAAAAAATGTTAACAATAGCCATGTCTTGGTGGTGTGATTAAGGGTGACTTATAAAAAACAAAAAATAATTTTCTGTATTTTTCCAGTTTTCTGTGGTGAGAAATTGTTACTTTATAACTAGCTGAAAATAAAGAAAAATAGTCTTTTCTTTCAAAGGCCTATTGTCCAGGCCTATTGTCCAGGCCTATTTCCAGTAGCGTTAAATATTCATTCATTTCTGACTGATTGCTCTGATCAAAACATTTAGAACCACTCATGAAAATGTAAAATAAGAAAACTCTTTTTTTTTTTTCTTGAGGGAGAGTAGCCCTCAGCTAACATCTGCTGCCAATCCTCCTCTTTTTGCTGAGGAAGACTGGTCCTGAGCTAACATCCGTGCCCACCTTCCTCTACTTTATATGCAGGATGCCTGCCACAGCATGGCTTTTGCCAAGTGGTGCATAGGTCTGCACCTGGGATCTGAACCGCCAAACCATGGGCTGCCAAATCGGAACATGTGAACATAACCACTGTGCCACTGGGCCGGTCCCAAGAAAAGTCTTAATTAAGCTCCCTTCCCAAACAGTTTTTTCTTTAGTGAGTAACACAACTTTATTAGTGGCGGTGGTGTTCTCATTCAGCACATGAACAGTTCCCAGTAACTTGGAAATCTCTTATTTCATTCAGCTTGTACACCTTTCCACGTGGCCAGGGTCAGTATTTTTATCTAATTGGTGGATTTGCTTCTCTTTCCTTTTACTTTCTGCATTGGTCAGAATTGCACAAATATTTGAAATTACCAGGATTCATGTTTAATCGGCATTTATACTAATTTCTTCAAATCTAGATTTCCTTCTCACAGGACTTGTGAGACTCGGTATATTTCCTTATGAAACTCCCTAAGCACTTCATAAACCTTAATTAATGACCAGCTCTTCTGAGAAATAATTATGAATGCTTTTAATTTAACAGAAGCACAGGGAATCCTAGTTTCCACTGTTGTATAAAACTTACCTGGCTTCAGCTTCTATTTGTATAAAGCCATTAAATATTAAACTTCTGTGTTAAATGCAGTCAAGAGAACTGTAGAATAGTTTAAAACTAGGGTAAAATGAACATTCCTAAAATAGCTACACAGAACAAAAGGTATTTTATAGTGTAGAATCTCTCATATTATATGAAAAGCACTACATAAATGTTTTTATTAGTAACACGTATTGTATGGACATCATATAACTATACCATATTTTATTCAAAGCTTCCTACGAGTGCATTTAATTTTGATTAAATTACCTTGGCATGGATCCCCCACCCCCAGTCTTGAGGTCTAAAAGAATTAGTGAATTCAGGTAAAAATATATATTTTTTGTAATTGGAAAAACATGGCCCAAAGCAACATCCTATCAATAGCCTGACATAAACTTAATAATCTCTTTAGACATTTGCAAGTAAAACATGCTAATGAAGTTCTGCTGACTGATAAATATTTAGATTGATATTCAGCTCATTTTTTGGGCAGTGCGCAAACCTCCTAACAGTGTGTTATCCCTTGGTCTTCCTGGGAGAACCCAATACTATCAGAACTATGACAAGGATTGGGGAGCCCCAAAGCTGCCATCACTCCCTTTTACTTTTGTTTGCATTGTTACAAAGCCGGAGAAAATGGCAGCAGTCATTACTGGTTACCTAACACCGTACAGTCTGGAAGAATAGAATCTAATAGCTCTCCCACACCTGGGCTCCAGCATCCTGCAGGTAAGATGCCACAGGCAAATGGCAATGGCTTTTATCATGTTGCTTGGGCCAAAACTTTAGGGGCAGGCTTGGGGGGTGGCTGGATGGGGAGGCTCTGTCCCTCACACATCGTATCTGTCAACTTACTCCCCCTACAGTCCATTTTTCCATACAACAGATCTAACTCAAA